ATACTCGTTGATCATCTCGAATGGAGCTTCTTGGAGCACATAGTCTACGCGTTGTCCGCCATTTAGTTTTCCCAGCATCTCCGAGGTTACCTGGCATGGACAAGATACAATATACATAAGTTTAAATTTGAAAATGTAACCTTTACGTTTAGTGACGTATTAGTTTCAATGAGACATCATCACTTGCAAAGGATGATTCACAAAAGCTCTTCAAAAGCTTGTTGAGGCTCCTTACCGCGTTGGACGATTGCAGTGGTATACAAGGCTATTTGTAATTTTACTAACTTCGTAAACAACTTTTGTTCCATAACTTGTAAAGCATAATAGTTTATTTTTTACTTTGATATTTTTTAATTAACGATTCAAAGGTATTTTATTGGTGCAATGCCAAGAAGACAAAGTGTGTTAAATTTGAATTACCTAATGCAAAATCGTCTAGTCCAATCATACAAATAAATGGTGAAAAGTTAAGACCTTATTAATGAACCTGTCTTTTTGGGAGTGACCTTAGATAGTAAACTACAATGGTTTCCATATATTTCGGTTAGGCTCTGCTGCATACTCAGTCCGTAGAATACGTGAGTTTACCGATGTTGCTACAGTTAGACTAGTTTACTTTAATTACTTCCATAGTATAACGTCCTACGGGATTCTGATGTGGGGTAAAGCGGCAGATATACAAACCATATTTGTGTGACAAAAACGAGCTATTCGTTCTATCTACCGTTTAGGTTCTCGGGTTTCTCACAGAGACAAGTTTAAAAAGACTGGTATATATGGAGAAAGAAAATTTCCATAATATTAACCTTAGAACTAAGTCCAACGTTACAAAAGTCGTTTAACTAAGGTAAACGATAATTTTATGGGGAACTGTATACGTTTTTACAATAAGATTCTGGAGCATATATTAAGATTACCATTTCCTAAGTCTAAATCTTACATTAAAAGTATGTTAATTGAAAAGTCATATTACAAAATTCTAGACCAAGTGTTAGATAAAGATGTATGGAAGATAATGTGAGTCTCGATTCCATACAAATATGATTCAAAATGTAACGTTATAGCATATAGCATTTAAATTTATTTGAAAAGAGCAAACCCTAAAGTTTCTTGCTCGTTCTTCACAGGGAAGTCGGCATAGTGAACTAGCAGTAAAACGACGTTTTCAAGTGGAATTTTTTTACCCATGGAATAAACGATTATTTGACTTTGTTGTTACATTTTTAGGTCTGAATTAGGTAGTAAGGCACAAAATTCAAACTAACAAGCGTCCTCCCCGACGACCCCCACCCCACAGAATTATAACCGTTTAAAGTGATCCATTTCAATATTCTTCTTTTTGTATGGAAGTGTAACTTGCTTATTTGAAGAACCATCATTAAAAGTCCGTGCAATTACATCTATTTGTCAAGTTTTATTGCAATCGGTTACCGGAAAGTGCACGAAAAGGCATTCATCCCCTGGATTGTCACCCTTAGAGGTGGAATATTTTCTTCAAATTTAAATGGGACCACTACTCAGGTAACCTCTTTTCAACAAAAAATGAATCATCAAAATCGGTCAACAAATTAATCGCATAATTAAACACGAAGACTAGACCAGTCCTTTTAGTAGCAGTAGAGCTCCTTGTGAAAGAGTTCGTCCTGGGAAGTACTGCCATCTTATCCATTTCTGCAGCCAAGCAGTAATGTGAGCCGGTTTTGAAGAGTAATAAGGATGCTGGTGAAAATTACAGGTACATGGGACTAGTCAACTTATGTCTCAGGCGCAGTGGCAGTGACCCTCAAATCTTTGCGATTTAAGCTCTCCCCCTCCTGTCACGCAGAGGTCCCAGAAGTAATAAAAAAAAAAGAGCTCAGAGTGGCACTGCAACTGGCGTGTAACTTACCATCGCCTGATGGTACACGACTTGGAATGTTGTAAAAAAAAAGTCCTGCAAGGTTGTTACTATTTTTCAGTTAACCCTATATACTACTTGTAAGACGCGTGCCCAACTGTGGAAAATATAGGTACGGAACATTTTGATACTTACGAGAATCTCGTTCTGTTGTTGATCGTCTTTGACATCAGTAAGTCGTTCTTTCTCCATTTCTTCTTCAACCACCTGAATACGAAAAAGCATGTTAGCCACACTTCGGACTCAGTGTTCTACTGCTGATCATAGGTTAAGCAAAATATAAATTCTTCTTCCTCTTATCGTATGCTATAGTCCATTTCACATAGTATGAGTAATGTCTCAACCAGGTCACAAAAAGAAATTATAAATTTGTTACAATGTACTAAAAACAAACCATATTTGTTGCAGTCATAATATTAAAAAAAAATTAAGAGTAATTAAGTGATAAAGATAAAATCTCCGTACAGAGTACTAAAAAGTTCGTGGAATTGTATTCGCCAAGTTTTGTTGAAACCGGAAAGTGCGCGAAAACGTATTCATCCCCTAGTTTGCCACCCTTAGAGGTGGAATATTTTCTTCAAATTTAAATGGAACTACTGAGGTATCCTCTTTAATAGTACACATTAGTGAAATAAAACGAAAAAAAATTGTACCTAACTAACCTAAGCAAGCGAAGGAAGCTAAAATTAAAAATAGATTCCTGAGCGTAGCGAGGGTTTCAAGACTCGAGAAAGCGAAACACACAACTTTTCACATCACTATAGCGAGGTAAATGGTATAAACATCAGTTATTTTTAAAGAAAAGAAAATTGGCTCTGGGCCTTTTGGAGGGAAAAGTGTCGTTTTTATTTTGACTTTCAATTATTTTGTGAAATCTAGTATAAAGTGGAATAGGATAGTGCTATTGTGCCTTAATCGAAGATTAAAACGCGAAATTATACGAATCTCGAACTAAAATACCCGTATCGGCCCGTTCTAAGGAATCCCGAGTCAATCCAATCACGCCGCCTCAAATTGCCTATCCTCTTTGTGGCAGCCATATTTACAGAAACATAATTAAACGAAGACATGGCTCAAAGGACTTGTATCCAAGCCAAAATTATTAATAAAAAAAATTAATGAAAAGAAAAAGGTTACCGAAACGTCGGTTTGTTTGAAAAAACAAATACTACACGATTTAAATCCGGAAAAATAGTTTCATTTCCTACCTTAACTAATTGTTTTTCCGGAAAACACCAATAGTGGACACAGGCGCCAATAATGGATACAAGCACTAATAAATAATAGACACGGGCAGCCATAACGGATACGGGTACGAATAACGGACACGGACGCCAATAACGGACACGGACACCAATAACGGACACGGACACCAATAACGGACACGTGCACTAATAACGGACACGAGCTTAATAATAATAATAATAATAGACACAAGCGTACCTTCTCTAATTGGTTGTCCGGAGGTGGCTGCGTCTTCCACATATTCGTCCACGTCGCTTTCACTGACTCGATCAATTTCTGTTTTATATCAGCGCCTACGCGTGCCATAGTTTCTTTGAGCTCTGCAAGTATTCAACACCATCAACATTACCCCTGCTTCAACTTCTCTCCAGAGGTATTGCTAACAAACATCACTAATATACATAATTATAAATTGAGGCGAAGTGTAGGGGGCCGCTTTTCGCATTCCGCAATCTGGGCGCTATTAATTAATATGAATAATATAAGAACAGGCGGAGAAAATTGATACAGATTCGATGTCGACAAGCGCCCGATGGCGATTGACGAGGCTGAATATGTGTGAAATGTGCGAATAAAAATGTGTGAAAAAAATGTGAATTTACTAACTACAGTGCTTCAGTTGAAAACCATAATTATAAAGTGTGTGACGTCATAACTTTTTTATTAAAAAAAAAGACCTCAAAAGTTCGTGGAATTACACCTATTTGCCAAGTTTTATCGAAATCGGTTACCGGAAAGTGCGTGAAAACGGATTCATCGCCTAGTTTGCCACCCTTAGAGGTAGAATATTTCCTTCAAATTGAAATTTTTAGAGTCCACTGAAAATCGGCGTCACAGCCTTGTCCCGGCTGTGACATTAGCTGAGTGGATCCTATTACATACGCCACAGCCGCACACAGAACATCTACTTAGTACAAAAATAATGTTGACCAGCTTTGTGGTCGCATAATTATTTATTGCTAAGATTTTATTTTTAATTAATTTCATTTAGTTTTCTTTTTTGTTATTCATTTTCTGTTTGTTTTAATTTAGTTTGTTTTAGTTTTAATTTAGTTCTGTTTTATCTTTATTTTTTTTACTTTTTATTTTGTACTGTTTATTATTGTATTGTGGTGTTATGTAATAAATGTATTCTATTCTATTCTATTCTAAATGGGACCAATACTCAGGTACCCTCTTTCCAACAATAAAAAAATCATCAAAATCGTAACATACAAAATAATACAGTCAAATTGAGAACTTCCTCCTTTTTTGAAGTCGGTTTCACATAACAACAATTGTCTAATTTGGTTGGCACTTCATCGAATCAACTTATTGAACATCGTCAGAAAAATCTTGTCGAAATAATCCCGTGTGAAGTGCGACATAAGTGGTGCACAAACTGTCACCCTCCCGCACCGCGCAGCTACCTCAGGAACCGTCTCAGTTAAGCGGTAGGCTTGCAGTAGTATTACATTATCTGTGGCTTTAACTTAATTTTCGTTTACTTACCTAAATGCATCCTTTTTCTCCCTTTGTGATGAGGTATTAACAGCGGCTTCACTTTCTCTAACTCTTGGTTAATAAGGGGCTCGATCCTGAAAGAGATTGGAATTATTTTACAATTATTTAGTTATTATTATTAATACAAAGATCGAATACTTGGAAAAAATTCCTTCGGTCCGGCCTGTTTGAACCGACATCTCCTAGCAAACCACGCCAGACGCTAAGCTATAACTATATAACTTAAGACAAAATTATAATAGATAACTTAAAATATAATATATAACTTAGATTGCTCATAGATGGCGCTACGGCTAAAAAGTCGTTAAATCTCCGTCGAATCCGGCCGGATCGAAGGAATCTTTGTATTAATAATTATAACAAACTAGTGGAGTAATTTCACAAAAAATAATTGAATATCACGATGATGAAACATTTTGTCACGCAATAAAAAGAAGGATGGCGAAAACTAACCCAATAATTATAAAATCAACGAAGTTCATGGACTTCGCTAGTATAATTTTACGTCTTTGTTTATGCATAGTTATCAATATATTTTTGTATGTTTTTAGAAGTCGGGAATAAAGAAACTGCAAAACAATGTCTGTCCCCGAAGTTGCAAAACCACAGAGGCAGACGGATCAATGCGACGAGGACGGCTTAACAAAGGTAGTGAAGAGGAAGAGGAAACCCACCAGCCGCAACCTGTGTGACACAGCACCGACAGGATCGAACTTTTGCTCCGTTCGGCAACAACGAAGACGCTGCTGTACCTGTCGCGACTACATTACTACGAAGTCTGAGAAGATAGTGGAGTACATCAGGCTAAAAGACAAATCCACCCTGAGGGTCGAGCGGTTGGAGTCCCGCCACAACGCAAATTGTAATTCGTTTGTGGTGAGAGCGCCAACCGAACATTTGTCGGCCTTCATGTAGGAAGAATTTTGGCGAAGGGTGTCTTATATCGGCGATTCCGCGGCCAGCTACCTGACACCAGATTGCGCAAACGCCGCCGACAAGTACTATAAGTGTAGATTAGTTTAGTTTATTTTATTGTCATATTATATTATATGTATGTTTTTTTTTTATGTTAGTTCTTAAGGTATATATTGCATGGGTTAAGTGGCCTGAAAAAAAGTCTAAATAAAAAAAATGTATTTTAGAATCAATGCAAAAATACAACGCAATTGGTTCAGTTCGATCATAGATTAGGTAACGTTCTTGTACGTAAATTTTATTTTAAGCATGAAGTAAAGTAATGGATATTTTATAGTACACACATAAAACATTAAAGCTATAAAATACCTAATGAAATAATCAATCAGACAGTAATGACATAAAACAAAAAATAAAATACAATGTGACAAAAATATTTAAGACTACACATATATTTTTTTCTTCTTAATGAATGGCTTGTGAGTCTACTTAGTCTCAGCTCTGCCAGTGTCCGTTTTCTAGTTTCATAAACGTTATGGAGGGTGTGTTAGAGTTTTGTTTGGTGACTCAGAGGGAGAATCGAAGTAGAATATATTTAAATGAGAGATAAGAAAGTTAACAAAGGAACGTTTTGACAAGAGGCCTATTGCTAATGTCAATGTCACATTGATATTGAGAACAGTGTGACCATTTGTGGCAGATTTCTGCCATTTGGGCAGATTTAATTTTTATTCATTTTCATTGCGGCAGAACATGTTAACATTGTATTAAATGTAGCAGAGTTTGGCAGATTTGGGAATATTCAGCAAGTTCTTTATTAGCTTTGGGAACAAACTGAAAACTTGTAGTTTTCTGCTACTACGAACAAACATCTGAAGCGGCATAGAGGGCAATGTGTATATATATATAGTTTTTATATAGTGTTGTTGTTACATATATATATATATATATATACATATATAGTGTATAAACATAACCTATATCAACTTCATAACCCCAGCTTCTACAGGCTGTACTCGATTAGCGGTCTCTTTAATGCACGTCGTCAAAAACACTGGGTCACAAAATACACGGGATGTCGCCATCCTTCTCTAATGATTTAGTTTCTAAAATCTAGAAAGTCGTGGATTTGCCAGCACTGGACTGCGATAGGCTCACGATGATGTTTGAAAGCGTTGTATACTCACCGATACGCGATAGGATCATAGGGATGGAAGATATTGAAGAAGTTGGGGCACGTAGGTAGTTTAAAATTAGGACCCAGCATCTCAACACCCCGGATACATTCAAATATCGCTGCAAAAATACAAAAACAAATTGTCGAATATGGTTGCGCCGGAAGTGGTATTTTAATTTACCTCGCAAAATTAAAACACTTTCATTTTTGAATCGATGATTTGATTGGAATACAACAGAATATCATTTATTTCTTGTAAATATGGTACAATAAAAGCAGATGTTATAAAATTAAGTAAGTTCAGCATATTTTGCCAACAAGTGGCATAAAAATATTAAAATAGGAGTAATTCCGTCAGTACTTATTTCTTATGCAAGGCGGCGGAGTTGTTGTTGACGCGAGTGCTTGTATTGAAACCTGAGCAAGCGAAGCGAAGTGGGAAGCGAAGCGAGTGGTTCAAAAATAGGTTCCTGAGCGTAGCGAAGGTAGATGTAGAGAAGAAAAACAGTTGAATATAAAAAAGCAACAGTTTTTTTACTCAAAAGAAAAAGTCTATCTTCGGATGCGTTCTGAATTTGCACCTCATCAATTTTTATTCTTGCTTGTAATTATAATTTTGCGTGCTAAAGTGATTATTGAAATTATTTTAGTTCTTCGACGAATTAAAATAATTTAATAAACACAATTAGTTACCATTGTCAATTTTTTGTCAAAATTTATCAACAAAATAAAAATAAAATATACCAACGGATTTATATTACATAAATAAGTAATGTACGACAAGTCGCTTATTGGAGTCTTTTTTTTTTAGTCCATCGTCAAGTTCGAATTACAAAAATCTTTTCCACGCTAGTGTGGAAAAAACGTTTTCGCGCGCAGATTTGAAATTTGAGTAACTTTTAATAACGCGTTGTGATGAATTGTATTACAAATCGTATTCTGAACCTCAGCCTTTAAAATGAATTCGTTAAAAGATTAAATTTGTGTATCCAAGAAAATGGAGCTCATTTCGAGCAACTAATTAGTTAGATTACCATTTTTTTCGTTTTATTAAAATACGTTAAGATTTCATCGTTTTGTTTTTTTCATTTAATTAACCAATTTTGTGAGAGAGATTTTATTCTTATAATTAACCCTATCGATCGATGCAATAAAAGTGCAGGGTGCAATTTTTTCAGATTAAAGCGGGTTCGATTCCCGCGTGTTGCTAGAAATTTTCGAAAATCTATGAATGCAGTTTTATTTCTTTTAAAAAATAAAGGAATGTTTCCTTTAAGTAAAAATTTGTATCTCCAGTATTTAGAGTACTTTCCCTCCAGGTGGCATTACAAATTTCCACCCTGTATAGAATGTGATTAAATTTAATAATTATAAGTTGTCCTGTAGATAATCATTAATGGTATAACAACATTATATCAATCAATAACGATGTCAGTTTCTTTTTTAATAATGCTAATGGTATGCTGTGTAACTTCATGTTTTCCGATAGTTTATTATATATTTTTGGTGCCATCTCAACTATACTCTTTCTTAACAAAGCTGTTTTGTAACTAACTATCTGTTAACAATAGGTTGAAATCACAGACATACATCTAGATAGACGCCGCAAGTGTACGTACTTCGCGTGCCCAATGCAGGTGCAATACACTACGCTGCTACACTTCAGAACACGCTCGACCGTTATCGTAGATAAACACCAGTCGAAAACGCGAAAAATGCATAATTGTGCCATTATAAACTGCAAAAGCACCATAACTGTGGGTAAACGAGTAAACAGGAATGTTTCCTTCCACGGGCAAGTGATTTTATAATCAGAAAATACATAATTTATTTTAAAAACAATTATTTTGATTTTGTACGAATTTCAAGAAAACATATATGCAACCAAGTGTATGCCTCAT